CATTGAATGTGTGTTAATTACTCTTCCAGTCAACGTGATTCTAATGATGCAGTTAACGTTATAACGTATCTTCTTTTAACAAAAAAATTAACGTTTGGAATGTTAATTTTAGAGCTCAAGAAAGAAATAAATCACCAAAAATAATAATAATCATTGTATAAAATACAAATGTAAATATTAATGCGACCAAGAGTTTGATTCAACAGGTAAAGATTACGCAGCACTTGTAAATCAATTCGCGCAGCGAGTGTTTGGAATCATATCGTAAACCATGATTATAATTAATCAGACGTATCAACGCAAATGCAATTTTGCTATAATTCAAAAGACTATCCTAATTTTCCCTATTTATAATTGGGAAATTTAACTGAAGAACCATATATAGGACGTGTAAATCCTCAAGAACCATGCAACAAATGATGTTATATTTTTCTTATTGATTAAATATCATATACGATAAGCTAGATAAAATCTACTTGGCCCTCGAGAATAAGACTTCCATGAAATGCATACCTATGAAATTCGGAGAATAAAAAACAGTGATATATAATATAAGTCATCTCGTGTGGCAACTATTGCACTAATATATGCAGCAATAAAAATGAATATACTGGATAATAAGATTTTTTTTTTATAACAACGAAAATGAAATTTAAACTTAAAAATGAATACAACATCCAAAAAGAAAAACACGTACAAACTACTTAAACACTCTACCATAAGATCAACAAATGATTAAAAAAAATTTGACATTATTATGAATAGGTTACATTATTATGAATAGGTTATATTGTTACATAAAAGTTCTGATAAATTTTTGAGACCAACTCACATAAACTTTTTAAAAGACAAAGATGTTACACAAATCTCTAGATTATAATAAAACCGGTTAAATTGATCATCGTATTAACATTTTAAGTTCATAATTGAATTTATTTTATTTTTTAAAATCTCTATATATATTAAAGAATATATTTTGAAGGAGTGATAGTTTTTTTTAAGAATTTTTTTCTTATAACAACAATATTTTTAGAAAATTTCCTTAATCGTTTATTTCTTTTTTATTTATTATTTTTAATTTAATTTTTATTTCTAAATAAAAAATTTTAGTATATATTTTAAAAAAATTTATCAACTGCTTAAATTATTTTATATCACAAAATAATTTTTTTATTATGAATTCAAAATATAATTTATATGTTTGAAACATTTATTTATATAAATTTTAAATATAATTTATATATTTAAAAATTGGCGAAGTAATCGAACCTGTCTACAAGTTACCTGGGCCAAATACGAATTTGGACTGGGCCTAGTTTGAAAGAAGCGAAAGGTGAAACCCAACGACCCAACCCAACAATAGATAAGGGTAACGAGATCCATGAGAAGTAGGGTTTTGAGAGAAGCCTCTATTTATAAAACTCACACACGCACATACTATTTCCTGTTTCCGCATTTCGTGATTCTAGGGTTTCACTCCCATCAGCAACAACGATGGTTCAGAGGCTCACTTACCGGAAGCGCCATAGCTATGCTACCAAATCGAACCAACACCGGGTTGTTAAGACCCCTGGGTGCTGTTATTGCTGAATGCTGTGATATTTCAAGTTAATTTTGTTAAGCTGATTGATGTGCTGATAGTTGTAACTGCTTTCTATTCACATATTTATATATGTATGTTGTTTCTTTTCACTAGCTTACCCTTTGTTGTTTCCATGTGGTTTGGACTGCGATGATCATACTATGTATGGGAGCAGGGCAGGGTTAGGTTGGTGTTTGCTGAGGAGAGTCTACAGCTAACAGATGGAGTTTTTATTCTTTTGATGTATTTAGCTACTTAGTTAGCATTTGCTGGATGTATTTTGTACACTCTGATTCTAGACGGATTTGGACCTTGTATATATATATATTCTAGATCCTATATGTATATACCTGTTCGTTTCTGTGTAGTATTCTGGTGAGCTGTGTTGTGTGTATTGACCAGGAGGGTTGTTACATAATCTATTGATAAAAATCCATCAAAACCGTTAATTCACTATTAGTTACTCCCTTCTTAATATTTAAATAATTGTCTATTATAATTAATTATTAACTAGAAAATATTCTCTCTTTTTTTATTTGTTTTATTTTTTTTATTTATCAATAACTCTTAATATCAAAACAACCCCACATAATTGCTCCTCACTATTTTAAAAGATAAATAACCCTATCATAAAAAAACAATGTAGTTAAAAAAATATCCGTTTTCTTAACTATTCTTTTATTTTCAAATTATTCCTAATTAATTAATTAAAAAAATTATATTAATTTATTATGAAAAATAGGATGTTACATATCATATACATAAATATTTTTTAAGGGAACGATATGTAATACACTTCCAAGAAAAACCTTAAACATAATAACCTAACCCCCTATCTATTTCTCCTTTTTATTTAGTCTTCAAGTTCAACCTTAAGTCTAGTCCAAATTTTTTTGATTAGTTATCTCCATTTTATTTTTAGTAAAAAAATATTTCTCTTATATTTTATAATTATACTAATATAATTATTATTTATTTTAAAAAAAGAATTAGGATGTTACATTTAATATACTCATTTTAGCATTATATTAACTAAATATAATAAATAATACTTTATCATAAAACACTATTTTATTTATATATATTATTCAAACATTTTGTTACTAATATCAATTTAATAATATGCTAATACTTATATATTACCTTTAATATGTATAATTAATATTTTATAATAAAAATATTATTTTAGGTAAATTTTATAAAAATATTACATTAAATATATTAATTAAATATTATCTTAATATTTGTATTTGATTTTATTATATATATATATATATTAATTTTATTTTGATATAGAACCCTAAAATATTTTTTAAAAATAATAATGAAAATACTTTTAAATATGTAATTAATTTGAGCAAAATGTACAGTAAATTTTAAAATAATAATTATATGTGTAAATTAAGAAGTAAATAGTTAAAATATAAAACCTTTGAATTAACGAAGATAGTATAATAATTACATCTATTATGAAATGTTAGTATAAAGGATGTTTTGATAATAACAATTTTTGTTATCAAATTTAAGGGAACTTTAACAAAAAAAATTAATAAAAATTGTAAAAAAATGTCTTATATAATGGAATTGGTGTTGGAAAAGAGAACCATGTCTTTAGTTTTTAAAATAAAACATAAAAAATAAAATATTGTAATATTTGTACATCTTATGAGAAAAAGTATAGTTTACTCTTTTTAATTTAAAAATTTAATTTAAAAATATTTTACTTTAAAAACTTATATAAAAACTAATAAATAGTTTAGGGAGTAAATAATAACTTAACCTAAATTATAAATTCATGTTACTTTTTAACGACATATAATAATTAAATTTTTTCAAAGAAATCTAAACAGATGCGATGAGTTTAACAAACTACACAAACTTTTCATAAAACGGTAAAATATTTCAGCACATGGTAGAACATTTGTGAAATCAATGGATGATAGGAAAAATAATAAAAAAAATATGTTTTCTTATGCAAATATTCACTTGCTTATTCATAAAATATTTATTCCCGCCAACTTATTTATTTATTTCATTAAAAAATTATTCAAAATTTATTATTTACGAAGGAATTATTCAAAATTTATTATTTTACATCCTAAAACCTTTTTATAACTTATTTGTTTTCACCATTTTTTAATTTAATTATTTTTTTTTGGGTAAAATAGTAACATATATGAATGCATAAATAAGTAGAAACTTCAATTATTATTTATCAAAATAAGTATAATCATATATAGTGACCGCATCAGAAAATAGATTTTTTATTTATTAAAATGGTTATAGATTATATATTTAAACTACTCATTCTTAATAGATAAAAAGAAAACTATTCACCCGTATAAAAATGTTGTAAATTATATTTAAACTGCACTCTTAATGGATTAAAAAAAACTACTCACCCTTAACAAAAAAATGTTAATATATTATATTTAAAATACTCATCATTATTAGATAAAAAAAGTTATTCACCCCTATAAAAATTATCAAAAATAATATAGAGTATAAAGAAAGCGAAACACCCTTATAAAAAATTATCAAAAATGATATAGAGTATAAAGAAAACGATACAAGTTATTGGTACAAATTTATTAATGATATTATTATTCAACTCAGACATTTTTTTTTGAAATCCGAGAGAATATGTTTGGAAAGAACGTGCTTAGACATTATTTCTTTATAAACATTTTTTAACTTCTTATTAAATACAACTGAAAACGATTATCTTTAATAAAAATGTTTTTAAGAACTATTATAACAATTTTATACATTCATCTAACTTTATTAAATTTAATATATTTATTTATGAATTAAATTTTAATATTTTAAATAAAAATTATTTAACGAATTCTTCTAATTTGTTAATTAACTTGTTTTTATAGAAATTAATGGTTTTTACTTTACAAAAACACTAAATTGATAATATTAAATTTTTACAAAATATTCGAGTAGAAAAACTGATTAAAAAAAATTAGACCTAAGAGATCTTTTAAACTCAAATATAATTGTACGGTTTCAAAGCATATGATGAATTAAAATCTATTTTTAATGGATTAAATGTACCAATAATATAATGATTTAACGAGAGTAGTTGATATCATTCGTGATTAGAAAAAACAAGATTTAAAATTTTTTTTTTATCAAATAAATATTTTTAAGTGAATAAATATTTTTAATACATAAGAATATGTTCATTATAGATATACAATTAAGTGATTATAAATTATTTAATTATATGATATAAATGTGTGGAGTAAATATAGATACAAGAAGTGGGGGTTAAATTGTGTTTAATTAAAACGTTAATACTTTTTCGAAAGTAAGTAAGTAAACACAAAGATGAAAGGGTGTAAATGAGACAAGTGACACAAAGAATTTATACTGGTTCATCTCAATCATTGAGACTACGTCCAGTTCTTGATCAATCCATCAAGTTCCACTATCTTTTTATGATGATACAAAATCCTTTTTACACAAGCCACCAATATTAGCCCAACTTAAGTTTTTCCAAGATTGTGATAACACACAAGGCAAAGGAACAACCTTACTAGCCATCAAACAATAGAGAGATCATAAATCAATGCACTGATCAAGGTGAAAGGTTTTTCCAAAACCTTGCTAGCCACCATTTTTATGAAAGGTAAAAAATCCTTTTTATGCAAGCCACCATTAACCCAACTTAAGTTTTCCCAAGATTGTGATAATACACAAGGCAAAGCAACAACCTTGCTAGCCATCAAGCAATAGAGAGATAAATCAACACTGATCAAGGTGAAAGGTTTTTCCAAAAATCAAAATCTTGTTGTGTTAAATTTAGATTTTAAACATTTGAATCCAAAGTTAGTCAAGAGAGTCTAGGGGCCTTTAAGTTAACATAACCATCTTAAAGGTTCTCTAGTGCGGAGGTTTGTTGGTCAATCTATTAAGCATTGGGTCAGAAAATTAGATCAATTTTATTTCCATGTTTTTCTCGGGTTCTCAGCTCAGAAGGCACTTACCTGCCAACCATGCGTGGGTCTTCCACTCAGATGCTTTGCACTTACCACACAAAGTCTCAAAGGAGTGCTATTTAGGAGCTTTAGTGACTAAACATTTCCCCAGTAGCTTTTTTATAGGATACTAAAATTACTCTAATAACCTATGGCCTCAAAGGGGTGCTTAGCCAATTATAGATTTTTTTATTATTGTACGCTTCCTAAAATAAACATTTCTCCAGTAACTAGGTGCAGTGAGTGTCACCAAGAGAACCCAAGGTTTAACATGGATTTTAATTGAACCAAAAATCTTTACCAAGTACTTTCATATCAAGACTCAACTGTGTAGTGTGTGAAGAGTCCCAACAAGAGGTTTTAAATATTTTTAGCCCCTAGATACCATTAACTTAATTAGGATTCAATTTTTAATTTTTTATTTTCACAGCAAGAAATCAAGTTCATGGATAAACCTTTGTACCGAGACAGCATCGACAATCTCTCATGTTAGCTAGACTGCTGGACTAAGCAAGATGTTGAACCGATGCCACCTTGACATCCAACCATTTCCATACTGTCAGCAAACCAGTCCCGTCTCCCGTGAAAAAGAGTCCATCAGGACCTAACTCAAAACTTGCAACCTCTTTCTTACTAAACAAACGACCCCTCTCTAAAAATCTGCAAAAATACACATGGTCAGAGTTAGGAGACAGATACAAAATGTTACAAAAGAACAGAAAATCAATCAAGTTTACTTACGATGGCAGTTCATACAAGCGAACTGAATTGTCTTTGCATGAGCAAAACAGTATATGATTGGCTTCTGCATCAGTCATCCCGGAAAGTGCAACAACACCCTGTGATAAATTTCATAACCAATATAAAAAACATCAGCTCAGATTCTATAAATGAAAATACAGCCAATAAGAACATATGTTAACTAACTTACATTTTCCAAAGTGTGTGTGTATGTCTCTTCTAGCATGTATATGTCTTGTAAAGTTTTCTCCCCAGTAGCGGACCAGACCTTAATTGTGCAGTCAAGTGAACTTGATAACAAATGATGGTCCCAACATATAAGAGATGTGACTACATCGGTATGCCCGTTGAGTGTCATTTCACACTCAAATGTATATATGTTCCAAACCTGAAAAAAACAAGATAGAAATCATCATTCTCATAGGATGATAATACATTTATGATTTTTATCTAATCTGTGTGGTTCAGTTTTAAAATTTTTAACATGATGCAATAGATGTATATTTAAGAAAGGACAATAAACGTGCCTTAATGCTTTGATCCATGGAACCCGAGTACAGTCTCTTCCGTCCAACAGTAAGACAAACCACAGCTTTAGAGTGGCCAGTTAGTCTTGCGACCAATTCAACGGAGGATTCAGAATTGTCTCTCCATGCATAAATGACACCATCCTGCATGCATTTCAAATAATCGGATTAAACATATAAGGGAAAAAAAAGAAAAGAAATTAAATCCTAATTGAAAAACAAAATTTTATTTCTGGATACCTCCGCTGCAGCAAAAAGTGTGTCATTGCCAACAATCATGGAAAGGACTTGGCCTTTAGGTCCATCAAGAGTAAACTCTGATAAAGTTTGAATGTTACAAGCCTTCATAACAATTAAACTCAGTCAGTAATTTTTCTTGTATAGAAAACATTAGTATTTCACACAATGAAAAAAAAAAAAAGAAATTAAGACTTACCTTGATAGCATTCAGTATACCAACAAAAACCCATGATCCCTCTCTGATCAAAGAAGTGATTTTGACGCCAAAGTTTATCACATTAGTACATACACCAGTATGATAGTCCCATATCCGGACTGTTCCATCAGTACTTCCAGAGTAAAGTTTGTCGGATCCAACCGGAAGTGCAATTCCAGTGATAACCTGTTGTCAACGGTATGGATTCAAAAAATTTGTAAAGGAGAGGCAATAAAATATTTTATATTATTGTTATGGGTATGTCGCAGGTGGGAAGTTGGTGTACCAGACCACTAAGAAGAGGGCAAGCGGACCCAAATGCCCTGTCACTGGAAAGAGGATCCAAGGGGTATGTATATTTTGTATTTATTTTGTCTTCTTTTTCATATTAATTATCTTATAAATAGGGTGATAATTTTTCTTTTTCTCTTTTTGTTTGAGATTATATTTAAGTGTCATTTTATAATTTTTTGTGACTTATTTAATATTAGAGGAATAAAATGATAAAAATTAATAGGATAAAAATAATAATATTATTACTTTGTTTTCTTTTAATTTTTTAAACTTCTACACTCATTTAAAACAAAAATATTTTATGAGTCTATTTTTTTTATAAGAATAAATGTCTTTATTTAAATATATTTAGGTTAAAAAATATTGCGTAACAACTACTCTCAGTGGATCATCTCCTACCGACACACAATATGCATTTACATCAAACGGTTAAAAAATAAAATAAAAGTTGAAAAATAACCTACATTAGTAAACTAAATATGACACCTTTAATGAATAATGTAGTAATAAATATTTTAGTAAAAAAAATACAGTATATTTTAATAATAAAAAATAAGAAAGAATCTACTTATACCAAGAGTAAATTTTGATAGACTTACCTCACTTAATAATTCATATTCTACATCAAGTATTCAACTATTTAATTAAAAAATTTTAATTTATAGATCAAATTTATAAAATTTTAAAAAATTAAAAATTATTTGATACCCTGTTTCATTAATTTAAATTGATAACACAAAAATTATTTGATACCCTGTTTCATTAATTTAAATTGATAAATAATCATAAAAAATATATTTTATATATTATTTTGAATCTTTCTAATGAAGTAGTATATGATTTTTAATTTTTCTTAAAAAAAATTAAATTTGATATATATATCAAGAATTTTTAATTTAATAGTTGAATTTTTAAAAAAGAATAAATCTATCAAGACTTACTTTTAGAGTAAGTAAATTTTTTTCTCATAAAAAATACGATAATTTTATGATAGAGTGAAAGTAATTAAAATGAAATAAAATATCAATATAATTTATTATATTAGATATAATAAGGTAATTAAAATATAATTAATAATATATATTTTATAAAATAATTAATATTTAATATAAAAAAGAAAATAAAGAAAATTTTAGCAAGAACCATTGTCCCGCTATTGTAAACATAGATCCGCCATCGGTCAAAAGCTTTAATTTAATTAGTCACTTCAATCAAAATAATTTATTAACTTAAAAGTTAGACACAAATTTTATAAAATATTTGTTTGGCTACAAATTAGAAGAGTCTTCAAGAATTCTTTTAACAAAAATTAGAGTATTTTTCATTAAAAAATTTATAAACTCATCCAAATAGGCTAGGAGTAAATTACCTTCTTGTGATCTTGAAGTTTTGTGAGGGAGGAAAGGCGATCACCTAGAAACCATGAATGCAAATTGCGACATTTTTGACCATAGGTGCAATTGTCATTTACCCAATATTTACATATGCTTGGATTTGGCAATGATGATTTGTGATTAGGCTTTGTCTCATCTCTATTATTTTTTGTGAGCGCTGTCTTTGAGTTAGAGTGAGAGGAAGAATGGGGTTTCCTTGTGTATGTGTAGGGATTATTGGCATAATGATAGGTAGTATGGGGTGGTGATGTGTGCAAAAATTTGCATGGGTTTCTGTTGCATCTCCCAGCTAACCAATAGGCACATGGTGTTGTCCTCCCACGGTGGCTTTGAATTTCTTTGGTCCTTCTCACAACATTATTTACACCCATGATTCTGAAAAAACACAACCATTCCAAATCTTAAAAAAGAAAGAAAGGATGATTGCATGCCTAGCTACAAGAAGATGTAAACCTGAGTCAGAAAATGAGTGCTGAAAACAACTCCTTCACAATTCGACGAAATGGAATCAATGGATTTCTCAAACAAAATCTGTTTCTATATGAAAATTCACCCGCAAAAGGATTATTTATAGAAATTTTATTCCCGCTATTTTTTTTTTGTTTTTTTTTGTTTTATTTCATCCAAAACAAATTATTCAAATTTATTACTTTATGTGTCTTCCAATCTTTTATAATTTATTCCTTTCCGCCATTTTTTAATTTAATTCTTTTAGATTTTGTTTGTAAAACAGTTTTATCTTTATCAAAAAAATTATGATTATATACAGTAACCAAATATTATAATAGATTTTTTTTATATATCAAAATGATAATAGATTTCGTTTAAACTACTCACCCTTATCGGATAAAGAAAAAAAAACTATTCAGTGTGAGATCCTGTTTCTTCCCTCTCAACTTTTCCCTTCACTCTCTTCTTCTTCCCCATTCACTCTCTTTTTGCCTCGTTTTCCTCTTCTCTGACCCTTGGTGACTTTAGGTGCTGAGCTAGAGTCGGGTGGTACTTGCTGAGTGTTCGGAGCTTTCTCTCTTCATCTCCTTCTTCGTTTGCTCAAGCTTCTTCTCTATTCAAGCTTTTTCTTCTTCCCGGAGCTCGGAATCTTTGCACCGAGGTAAGGGAAGTTAGGATTCGTGCCAGTTGTATGAAAATGAGTTTAGTAACTCATGGATGGTTTGATGATTGGATGATTGTGGCTGAGATTGAAGAAAACTCGTTTTCGGGGTTGGGTGAAAATTTCGGGAATTTCATTGTTTCTGGTTGCATGTGGGTAAAGTTGGGATTTTTGGGTTGTTTGATGAAAATGTGATGTTTTGGGCCAATTGCATGTGTTTGGGAAGCTGATTTTGTGCAGGTTTTGAAGAAATTTTCGAAGTTGGAGGGTTCTTGATTGAGAGCACGCCGGGCACAGTTCATTGCGCCGGGCACGTGACCATCAGAGGGCACCTTTGGTCGAGCCCGCCGGGCGCAAGGTTGTGTGCGTCGAGCGAGTTTGAAGAGGGATGCCCTGGATGGTTCACGCCGGGCGTGGTAGGACCACGCTGGGCGCGTTATCAGTCAGTGACCACTTTGTTGTGTTTTCTGGTGTTGCGCCGGGCGTGACCTTGTCTTGCCGGGCGTGCAGACTCCTTGGGAGTCTCTACCAGTGGTGGCGCCGAGCACAATTGGTATTGCGCTGGGCGTGAGTCCTTGGGAAGGTCTTTGTCTACCCTGCACCGAGCGCGGGTTTGGTATGCCGGGCATGTGAGACCTTTTAAGGTCTCTGCCTCCTAGCATGCCGGGCGCAATGGAAATTACGCCGGGCGCGTTTGAGCCCTGATGCTCTCTGGTTGTGCCACGCCGGGCGCAACCATGAGTGCACCAGGCGCGGATGAGATTTTGATTTATATGCTGTTATAGGCTGATATAGGGTGTGAATTGCTGATAAATGTTGATATATGCTGAGCTGAGTTGAAATTGATGAACATTGTTGTGCTGTTAGGTGATAATGTTGAATTAAAATAGTGTTGTGCTGTGAGCTGTTTAAGCCGTGCTGTGAGTTGTTTAAGTTGTATTTTATATTATTTAACTGTGCTGTATGCGGATATTGCTGTGTGTTATGCTGTGTTGCATGCTGATATAAACTGTTGTAGGTCGTAAGACTGAGCTATTGTAGGCCGTAAGGGTGAGCTGTTGTAGGCCGTAAGGCGGAGCTGTTGTAGGCCGTAAAGCGGAGCTGTTGTAGGCCGTAAGACTGAGCTGTTGTAGGAGATCTCTGAGCTGATATGCGTGATGACGCATTGTGTGTTTACTGCTGTTTACTGCTATTTTTGCTGAATGTTGTGAGTTGTATATGTGATGAGTTATATGCTGATGATTGCTGAACTAGATGATGTGCTGATAAGCTGTAGTTGTTTATAATTATTGTACTCATATATCTTTATATGTTGATTCTTTTCACTAGCTTACCCTTTGTTATTTTTATGTGGTTTAGACTGCGATGATCATACGTTGTATGAGAGCAAAGCAGGGTTAGGTTGGTGTCAAGAGACAGGTCTTGTAACACCCCAATTTTCAAAAAGGTTATTATTATTATTATTATTATTATTAGATGGTATTTGGTCATAATTATTTTAATAATTATAGAGGAATATTATTTTGTACGTTTTAAATAATTATTATTTTGGACAATTATTTTGTACGTATTAAATAAGTATTTTTATTAGCATTTTTAAATAAATATTTATATGTTTTAAGAGAAGGTTGATTTTATATGATATTTTGTTATTGAAATTATATTATTATATTTAGGGTCAGAAATATATTATTATTATAGAGAAAAAATATTTTATAATATACATGTATTTATTTTATTTAATTATTTTGAGGAAAATTAGAAGTGGGTTAGAAGAGAAGGAAAATGGGTTGGGTTGACCCAGTCCAATGGATTAATTTTAAGAAAGGAGTCAGGTG